TTTAATCCTTTGTTGTCATGTTCCGCTACAGTATTAATCGTACACATGTGCTGTGTTTTAATCCTTTGTTGTCATGTTCCGCTACAGTATTAATCGTACACATGTGCTGTGTTTTAATCCTTTGTTGTCATGTTCCGCTACAGTATTAATCGTACACATGCGCTGTATTTTAATCCTTTGTTGTCATGTTCCGCTTCAGGATTAATCGTACACATGTGCTGTATTTTAATTCTCTGTTGTCATGTTCCGCTACAGTATTAATCGTACACATGCGCTGTATTTTAATCCTTTGTTGTCATGTTCCGCTACAGTATTAATCGTACACATGCGCTGTATTTTAATCCTTTGTTGTCATGTTCCGCTACAGTATTAATCGTACACATGCGCTGTATTTTAATCCTTTGTTGTCATGTTCCGCTACAGTATTAATCGTACACATGCGCTGTATTTTAATCCTTTGTTGTCATGTTCCGCTTCAGGATTAATCGTACACATGTGCTGTATTTTAATTCTCTGTTGTCATGGTCCGCTACAGTATTAATCGTACACATGTGCTGTACTTTAATCCTTTGTTTTCATGTTCCGCTACAGTATTAATCGTACACATGTGCTGTGTTTTAATCCTTTGTTGTCATGTTCCGCTACAGTATTAATCGTACACATGTGCTGTATTTCAATCCTTTGTTCTCATGTTCCGCTACAGTATTAATCGTACACATGTGCTGTGTTTTAATCCTTTGTTGTCATGTTCCGCTACAGTATTAATCGTACACATGTGCTGTGTTTTAATCCTTTGTTGTCATGTTCCGCTACAGTATTAATCGTACACATGTGCTGTATTTTAATCCTTTGTTGTCATGTTCCGCTTCAGTATTAATCGTACACATGTGCTGTATTTTAATTCTCTGTTGTCATGTTCCGCTACAGTATTAATCGTACACATGTGCTGTATTTTAATTCTCTGTTGTCATGTTCCGCTACAGTATTAATCGTACACATGTGCTGTATTTTAATTCTCTGTTGTCATGTTCCGCTACAGTATTAATCGTACACATGTGCTGTATTTCAATCCTGTGTTGTCATGTTCCACTACAGTATTAATCGTACACATGTGCTGGATTTTAATCCTTTGTTGTCATGTTCCGCTTCAGGATTAATCGTACACATGTGCTGTATTTTAATTCTCTGTTGTCATGTTCCGCTACAGTATTAATCGTACACATGTGCTGTATTTTAATCCTTTGTTGTCATGTTCCGTTACAGTGTTAATCGTACACATGTGCTGTATTTAAATAATTTGTTGTCATGTTACGCTATAGTTGTTTAGGGTCATATACCATGAACATGTTATGCCGCACTGTGTGGTACCAGAACGACAGAGAACACGGTGTAGTGTCATGGTAACATAACATTACAATTTTACAATTAACCAATCGTATAAGTGTTAAACTGTTATTACAGATTGCTTAGACAATAAATGAATATAGTACATTAATACTAAAACACAATTATGCCTTCCTTATGAAACGAAGGAAGTTGCCATATCAGTCATAATGAAACCAACAAAAAGTATTACATCATAATTGTCGGTCATTACTCTTTTGTCAAAAACGAGTTGGTATTCCTTTTCCTCTGGCTTTGTGAGGATGTGGCAGCCTGATTTGTTTCGGTAGATCTTGAGCTCGTTCATGACTTTCACATTTTTTTGTTTCATCAGTAACCATTTTTTTGTAAAAGCATGAAAGTAAATTTGAATAACCTCATTTTATTGAACGATCTCTGCAAAGGACCACAGCATAAGCGTCTTGTTTACAGAAGGCAGCCACCATAGGAAGTTGTCGGTCATCGCTTTAAACCAAAACCTCTTTTACACTAAGGATCCTACACAGAGAAGAAATCGTCACTTTTTGGCGGTTTTTAATAATCCAATTGACAGACAATAAATCATGACCCTGGCACGACAAACGTACCCTGACAAAGCACAGTTCTTTTATGCGTCACTTCGAACATGCTACCAACATACCGTATGGTTATTTACTCGTAAATTTAAAGCTTAAAACTTGAAATATCTGCGTCTGCACACTGGCATATCATATTACCAATCAGAAGTCACAACACAACATATAGGGAGCGGTTCCCCCCATATAACATAATATTTGGGATACCGTTTGCAACAGAAAGTTCTCAAGAACCCATAGAAATGTATTCGATTATGTGACAATTGCCGTTTAATGTTTGGGAATATACTCGCTCTACATAGGCATGTTAAATGATGGGTCCCTGAGAACAGTACTCTTAAATTAAAGTTTGGGGATGATGAGGACAAAATCAATAGACCGGCAAAGAAACAGAGGACAAATCTTCGCTCACGCGGATATCTTTGATACCGAAATGGAAAATGAAGACACAAAAGAGGATGATTGTTTTACCAAGATGTGCAACCGGGCTAAATTAAATATCGAAGAGAAATGGAGCGAAAGAGTAGACAAATACAAGGAAAAAAGGACGTTCGAAGGAGAAGTTGAAAGTAGAGCAGATAAAAAAAAAAAGATGACGATCTGATGGAAAACCTTAATCAATACGCACAGACACTAATCAGTATCTTTCAAATTAAAGGTGAGAATCTGCACACAAAAATCACGGAATCTGTGGAAAAGTATAGACGAAATTGTTACGATCTATTGTCGACTGTACGCATGTCTCCTTTGAACATGTATGCAGATGACGACGATGATGTATCATATGCTGATGATGAATATGAATCTGACGAGGAAAACGATGCAGAAGACGACGAGGAAAATGGGGATAAATAAAAGTAAGACATGCTTACACATTCTGCCATAAGTGTGAATACGTCTAAGAAGTACACAACAGGATTATTTGAAGGACATTTATTTTGATCCCTGTAAACCTGACAAAGTGTATCGATTTGTCAAAGGGAAGGAAACTATAACATAAGTACATACAGCTTACAATGCTTAAACAGGAAACCGACGAACAGATGACCAGTGGTCGGCTGACCTCATGGATTGATTAAGTTTTTCGAAATACAATGACGGATATACATATGCACTGGTTGTCATCGATGTGTTCTCAAAATATATGTTGTTGAGACTGCTAAAAGACAAGAAAGGTAATTCGGTGGTCACTACATTTGGAACTATATTCGCCGAGGGGCGCCAACCTAGCAGGATAAGAACGGATAAGGGCAAGGAATTAAGAGCAAAACTTGTCCAGTCCTTGTTTCGCTCACGAAATATAAGGCATATATATGCATACTAAGAGGTCAAGGTCAGCACCATCGAGCGCGTACAGAAGACGATCAGACGGTTACACAAAACCATCTACATCGCGCCCGTTACTCGTAGGTTTAATGCCTACAATTTTGGAACATCTGCGTCTGCGCAGTGACGCATTAAATGACTAAGTCACGACACAGCATAAATGGGAACGATAAGGAGCCACCAAACCTCATTTCATTGAAAGTTGTTCAACAGTACAGAGATGAGGTTCAGCTTTAGCGTCGGTGACCGTGTGCGCATTATATATTTGAGAAACATATTTACTCGCGAATATGTTGAAAGATGGACTGGTGAAATATTTACGATAGTACAATGATTCTTGAGACAATCCGTGCTAATCTACCGACTGAAAAACTACAACGATGATGAAATCACGGGTTCCTCTTATCAATCAGAACTGCAGAAAGTGGATCTTAGAGACAATGATATAAGGAAAATTGAAACAGAGGCAAAGGACGAAACAAACTATTGTGCGTGAAATGATTTCACTAGCCAATTACATAATCATCTTGAATAGATAGTTAAATACTAATGATGTTGTTGATTTGTAAAGTATTGTGTTCATATTTTTTTTTATTTTTTTTGCGTCATAGCATTCGAGTACTAGTACTTGTTCTGTTTGTCTGATATAGCATTTGTAAATAAAATGCGTTGTACATACGTTTTGATTCTATAGTCGTCATATAGCTAGTGAACTGTATAGCGTGTGTGTGTAGGAGTGTACACATGTTAATCCTTATGAGTGGGTATAATGTTGTCAATACAGACATGTTCATACTTGTGTTGGGTAAAAGCTGAGCCGCCTAGGCGTCTATTATTTGTGAAGCAATGTCATGTACAGACATAGGCCTCTATCTTCAAGTTCATTCTGTCATTTAGTTAGTTTAGCAAATATGATAAGGTATTCAATTATTTTTATAAATTCGTTCCTAAAATAACCAAACTTAGATAAAGAAACTTTTTTTTTTATATTTAAGAGGTATACTATGTATCATTTCATTATTTAACATGCATATACGCTCCTTTTCATATTGCAATCTGTGCATTTTTTATACAACGACATTTATCACGTATTGCTTTGGGTTGCTGGTGTGTGAAAATGCCAATAAAGACATAGTTATAAAGGTGTATTAATATGCCTGATAAGTGACAACACGTTACATACAGGGCATCAGGTATACAGGTACTCGATCAATAGGCGTTAAATCAATTTACAATCAGTGACGTAGATATGTCAGAGTCGAAAAGACCTTTTGTAGTTCGTTTACCATTTTGTTTGTTCGAAGGTGCTTATTATACCCAATAAACTACCTATGTTCCTTTGCAATTTTCTTTAAGTTACAAAGAGAGAATTACACATGCGGCAAAGGTGATTCAAGGCTTATTATATTCCAATTGAAATTAGTCAAACGCTGAAAGTAGGGAAACAGTTGATACTTTTGCCTTCGATAATGTAGGCCTACTACATAGGCCTGTTAAACAGACTAAACCTTATGATGTTGTTATTCTATTCATACTGCATACAAAACAACCATTTCCTTTTACAGAAACACGCTGTCCATCAATTGCTGTTGAACTCACTCTAACGATAAAAATGTCAATACCTTTCTGTGTATTTTCAGAAAATATTTCAAAACCGAAAGTAATACAACCTCCCAGTTCGAGGAAAGGTCGCACCTGAAATGACATTAGGTACTCTTTTGTCACGTGGTTTCGATCAAGCCCGGTAACCACCACTAAGACAACGCTACCACACGTACGCAGGACATTGCAAACTTCATTATGGCGTCTGCAGCAGTGGTTTGTGGTGGTTTGATTGCCCTGGGATTGTTCGTTTTGCAGGCGGTGGGGGTAGGCACACACTATTGGTATGTAGTAGAAGTGTCAGGGATAAGTGAGATTAGTGCCGGCCTGTTCCAGATTTGTATAGACGTTACCATTCTCGGCAGCAGTACCAGCCAGTGTTACAGTTACAACAACTACGTCACCTCTGCGACTCTCGTTGACTGTAAGCATCCTCGAGTATTTATATGAACTTTTAAAATTCGATTACACACTAAAATTATGTTGCATGATATGAAGCAAGTAATTCTATTGAATAACACGTTATTTTGTTGGCGGACATGTTAAAATGTATGTATGACAATTTTGAGCTATGATTTTGTTTTTAATTGAATTATACATTTGTTTTAAAATACTTGGCTTTTAGAATCGTTAGAATAGTTTGAATCAAATTGTTCTCCAATGTCTCCGAGGTCTATATATCTTGTATATCACTGACGTATCCAGGTCCAGAAAACCTCTACCTCTTGCTTACCGAACATTTCAGTCTCAAAATATTGTCAAATTAATATTAATCATCGCGCTGATTTCCATTCTTGTTTGGGTGTTATATTTGTCATTGTATTTCTGTTTAAAATTGGAAGAAACACTTTCGACCTGGGTACGGTGAGTTTGCAAGGTTTATTGTTAAATCTTATTGGTTATTGTTTGAAATATTATTAATACTTACTTCAAGAACTTGTTTTGACCTTGGATTCGCTATATCATATTCATGTATATACAACAGTCAAACGTTGAAACATTTGTGTGATTCTTAGTAAATAAGTAAAGCAGACATTGACATGTTTTTGAAAGCTGTTCAAAATTTTAATGACATGTTTGACAAAAATAAAATAAAAATTAACATATCAGATCCGACTTAGATATGTTTCTCCCGTATTTAACGAGAATTCCTTGCAAAGTATTTAAAAAATAAATAAAAAATATATGAGCTTATTAAACGTGAATGTTTATATGATTAAACAATATTCAGAGATTTTTTAGTCTGACATCTAGGTCTTAGGCGCCAAAGAACAGAATTTAACCGATTTTAATATAACAGACAAATAACCGGGTTCGTCAATGCAGTAACCTTGGGGTACGTATGTCGGCCGCCAGCACTGCTAATGAACAGGTGCATTATGTGAGCGATCCTTATGCGTTTCTCGTCAGAAACAGTGTAAGCCGAGTACTTCACAGTATATGTAGAAAACATTACTACAAATAATTATATGCATTCGATAAACTAAAACCGTAAATGCTGCACAATATGACTGCTGTAATTTCCTTTTGCATGGAAAGCTTAACTGTCAGAAAAATATTGAGTCAACGATAAGGATAAGGATATAACATGAATCTCTCGCCGGAACGTCTTCCTGACTGAAGTGTTATGACTACCCGAGAACGTTCTATTCACATTACAGTTGGCGCCATACCATATGTGCATGCGTCTAAATGTACCTTTTTGTCTTCGTTTTAGTTAAATATTTCCGTATTTAAAACCTCAGTATTGATCTAAAATACCCTTCGACTACCCCCTAAAAAATAAAAACACAACATTGATTACATTCTATACGTAATTTGAAAACTTCTGTGCATGATCCATATTGTATTTCAGATAGTAATGCTCATGTCTAACAATAACAATTGATGTAAAGTTTAAATAGTCTACTGCATATTTGGCTTTTATAAAGTATACAAAACACGGCGGGGGGCACCAACATATGAATAACGTCACATAAAATCGACAAGACCCAACATGTTATAATGGGTCGATGCTATGTTGGGTCTTTTACCGCATTCAATCGATTTTCCATTATCATCACTTGATAATTGATGCAAACGGATTTGACACGAGTTATTACTCCATTGCAAAGCCCCTCTCCGCAATATGTTTATATAAATTTAAAATAGTATAATATTGATCACAATCACCACCATCTTACATGGGACGAGAATAAAGGTAAATAGAATATTAGAAAGACCTTAAAGAAAAAACAGAAAATGTAAAATGTAATAGCATAAACCTTTCACTTGATGTGACGCAATGTTTGCGTTTCTAAAATTGTAGTGTTGGTTGTTTTTTTACCGTTAGGTTTACTTTTACGTTAAGTATTCAATTTTTTGTCCATAACAACATCCTGATTTAAAGCGTGAATCATTGAAAATATATCACCTTTTTGTATTTTAAAACAAGGGCATGATAAAGAAAAAATAGGGATTGCAGAATCCTCAACAAATTTTACTTTAAAATGGTCAGAGATTATCGGATTTTATTTATATTTTAACATCACACGTTATACGTAAAGTCTCCATTCTCTAGTGTTGTAGGGTAATGGTGGAGAAACATACACCAAAGCTTTTCAGTCCTGCAACATTAATAGAATAGGCCGACAAGAGACCTATTATATAATCCTGAAATCTTGAATACATTTGTATTTGCTAACACACCCAATCGTCTAGTGCAGTAAAGGTAAAGCCAAACGTCAGTCAAACAGTTGGGTTAACATCACTTTACTTACGGAAAATGTATATCTGGATTATCATTGACATGTTATATAATGGTTTCTTATTGTACTGTACTGTTACTATACACATGAGGACCTAACACAATGATAACGTTAGTGCAAAATGTAACGCCTTTTTTTTTCAATGAACTGTTTTTATAATATTCATTTGCTTTTCGTTTCGTTATTCTTTACAGTCTATACTTATAAGAAAATTTCTTTTTGAAAATATCAGTTATAGGATTTTTTATACTCTCTTAATATTTCCGAAGAAAGCGTGACGTACTGGAAGTGTTAAGTTCTGCAGCACTGCAGCGGAAAACATCAAAAAACATAAATGAATTGTATGCAATACATGGTATGGAAAGGAAGGTATGACGCCTAACGGTCCATTATAAGTCATCTTCGAAATCCAAGGATATATTTTTGAATTTTCTCATGACAGAATCGAACGCTCTAACGCTAAGCTATTTGATCGTTATTAGACATCATAGCTAAGCGATCGCATGGCTGATACACAGTTGTACCTGTACATTGAATATAATCAAAGAGGAACGCAGAGATTTAAACTTGTATATTTTGACCTTACATTGCCGAACGATTATCTATTATCTTTCTTCAAAGCATTACATTGAAATAACATGTATTATTAATTCTTTGGCAGTTTTCTTACTGTTTTCTTGTATCATACACAAGTTGGTGTGCTCAGGGATTGTCATAAGAAAATCGAAGAAGATATATTTATAAGGAGTGTTGCTCTTGGATCCTGAAAACGATACAATGTATGTGTAAGAAAGAGGAGGTTTTAAGCTAGAAACTCGGACTTTGTGACATGTTGGTTTTTTCATTTCAGTTAACTACTACGCGATTGCAGGGCTCAGTGTCATAGGCTGTATCCTACTGTTTTGCAATGTCATCATCGGTTTCGTGGGATGTGCTAGCACCAGACCGGGACGTCCTACTGTTCAAAACTTGGGCGGCATTTGGTTCATTTCGGGTAAATATGACCGATCATTTAAAACATTATAATCTTTGCAAGTAAGCATGTTCTACCGTTCAAACCATGTTCTATGCACGCAATAATATGGCATAGTCAAAATTCTGGCTGACAGCTTGTTAATATGACCGGCCGTCCAAAACTAGACTGATGTATATTTATCTGCAGGTAAATATTTTAAACTGTGGTCCTTTTAAGATGCTTTCATTCTGCTTATTATGTGCGACCGTCCAAAACACATTTGGTACCTGTTCTTGTGCAGGTCATATGCCCTTTCGTTTTGTATGTAGCAATACACGGCCATTCGCAGTGAACACGAGTGAAGATTATATTCAACTGAGGAAATATTAGCGAAATCCAAAAATAAAAACTGATGACGTAGCTTGTTTAATCCATTAAAAGAGTGTAGGTCACATTAACATAAAATAGCAAAAAGAGGTCCTAAGCATAACACAAGCTAAAATATTATGTAGTTTTGAATTTGGTCATGCAGAAATCTTTGAAATCCCTGGCATCACTCATTAGTCTGGAGAATCCTAATAAATGCAGATAAAAAAGAAATTCTTGAGTGGCGAATCTCCTCGATCACGTCAGCCCCTCACTAGGGAACGTACTTGTTTTAATCGGGGAAAAGACACCTTACCATCATGAAATATTTCCTCATCGATTTCGATTAACGTTTCATCGACCACAAAGAGTATGTGGGCATTATCACCCAGTGTTTGTTCTACTAGCACTGTGATGAGTGATGATGGACAATTATGATTGATATTTACAGCAATAGTGCTTGTATCTGCGTTTTCCATTTCTCCGAGACGTATTTTACTAGTTCGTTTCATAGCAAGTTGAAATGAAATGTATCGAAAGCCCGATTGACTGAGAAATGTTGTATTTATCGCACATTAACGGATATAACTACACGTTGTCGGCTCTGTCCACTGAAAAAATGTCGCCGATATTCTCTTGCAGTCATGCATTACATATCAATTACAATCTGTAAGGTTGTTATAGCTGGGCTAGATGGATTATTGTTTTACGTAACACGTTTTATCTGTAGGTGCGTTATCATCTATGCATTCAACGCCCACAATCTTTAAACATTTAAAGGGACATTGCAAACTAATACTTGAGTACGCGGATGGATGGTTTTCATTATTTTTTCGTAAAAAAACAAAACCATTTTGTTGCATTATAGAGAAAAAACTTGTTCAGCTCTTTTCTATAGCAATGACGTCACGACCTGCGGTTACCTGGTGAAATTCTTTGTTAGCATAAAGGTCAATTGTACAGTTCAACAGGTATCAGTGTTTATTTGGCTACAGAACGAATTCTAAAATAAAGGTAAACAATCTTCAATTTTAAAATACTTTGACAGGTTTTCAAATTTACTAAAAATAATTCTTTTTAACAACAATTTTGTATAACAATAGCATACATGTATCTAAAAAAATCGATTACTGTATATCTCAAGTTTGTGTAAAACATAAGTCACTTAAATTTCATGGAATAGAAAGTGAAAATAGAAGGTATTCGTTTAAAAAATGACTAGACAATTGAAAGCTTTCATAAAAAGACCTTCTAAAGTTTGCTGATAGAAGACATCCAAATAATTATTTTTATCTCGTTATAAGGAGCTAGTTTCTCGTTATAAGGAGTTACTATCTCGATGAACTAGCTCATTATAACGATAAACTAAGGTGTTCCAACGAGATGCGGGGGCCGCGGTGGCCAAGTGGTTAAAGCGTCTGATATTCTGCTAGCACTAGCCCTCCATCACTGGGTCGCAGGTTCGATGCCTACGTGGGGCAGTCGGCATGTACTGGCCGTAGGTCGGTAGTTTTTCTCCGGGAACTCAGGCTTTCCTCCACCACCAAATCCTGGACGTCCTTAAATGACAATAGCTGTTCAAAGGACGTAAATCACTAAGAAACCAAACCATTATAACGAGATGTTTTAACGAGATAAACAGTTTTTTTTTAGATGTTCACAATCAAACATTGTGCATTCGAGTACATACAATTAATTCAAATGTTCAACGGAAACAATGAAAATGTAAAAGTTAAAAAAAAACCGTTGAATATATTTTATCAACACCAGAACACGATACTTCCATCCACGCAATGATCTTTGGTTATGATCTTGAGGGGACGGTCGCTTTTAAACGTTTCCCTCCACTTTTCTTTTCTCTTTTAGAACTCGGCTGTGGCCATATTGATTAAATGCCTAACTTTGACCGTACAAAAATGTAGGCCTGTAGATCGATCAGTGAGAAATGTTCTAAAGATGCATATGTAACCGTTAACAATATATTGCTGCGTTTATTTCTCTCTCTCTTTTTTACCTAAATATATGACCTTAACCTTTGTCCTATGACCTTGACCGTGTTCCTGTGTGAAGTCGTCGATGCCGTCTATTCTATACTGAATTATGATAGTATTGATTAAAGTGGAAGAAAAAAATACATTAATGTACTGAATATCACATGTTGAATTTTGACCAAAACTGTGACCTTGAATGAAGACCAAGGTAATTTCTTATTGATTACTTTTAAAGCACAATATTAGGGCTAATGGCGATGCAACATCAAACATCAAGACCTCATGGCGTTTGGCCCTCGGGGAGTACAGTTTTATAAACATAACTCTAAGTTGACCTTTGACTTTGCACTGATGACAAACATGGAACTATTAAATACCAAATGGTGAAATATTTCCATCAAAGGTATTTAGAGATAAAGCGGTTTGAAAATTGACCAATAAGGGACCATTGTGGCCATCTTGAACGTTAAAAGGTATTTCCTGTCCATTTACTTTTTAGACATGAAATCAGGCTAGTGGCAGACTAAATATTAAGACTCATTACCGCCTGGTGCTCGAAGAATAGGTATTAAATTATCACATCATAAAGACCAATTAAAATGTTTGCAGGCAAACAATTAAGTTTTAACATGCCCTTTTCCCTTCAATTTTCGCTGCTATGACCTTATTAGGACATGATCTTTCAAATGTGGTATACCTTGAAGTATATTGAAATTGTTTTGAGATTTTCATTTTTCTATTATACCATCGCGTGACCTTGTAATTGACATAATTTTCTTATAACACGTAATGGGTAAAAATTAGCCCCGACCAAGATATTTAAAATATCATGATTACAAATCAATGAATGGTTTTGGAGTTAACATTACTGTTACATTTTCTAATATTGTTTTATTCATAAATCTGTGCCCTTAACCTTTGACTTTTCAAGATAATTATTCATGCGGTTACTAATTATCATAATGTTTTATCTTCATCAGCCGGCTGCACTATCGCCGCAGTGGTTTGGTTTTACATCACACAATACCAAGACGCGAAAACAGTGCTGTCGTTGACCTCACTTTTTAAACTCAAGCTTGGCTATTCCTTCTACCTAGTCGCCGTGGCGGGTGGAGGCGCACTTATTGCCGCTATAACCATGTGTGTGACAGCTAGTCACATGGACGTCCCACAAACTATCGCCCCGGTCGGAGCCCCCGCAGGACCACAGGTGTTTGTCATGCATTCAGGAGTTGCACAACAGGGACCCACGGGATATCCACAACCAGGATTTCCGCAACCAGGATACCCACAGCCTGGAAACCCACAACCAGGATACCCACAGCATGGAAACCCACAACCAGAATACCCACAGCCTGGAAACCCGTTCCCTGTTTATTGCCATCCTAGTGTAGTCTTTCATAACAACATCTATCAACATTCTTTAGTTAAGCAGAAAATGACACTTTACCAATAGTGGCCTACAGTTAAAAAACTACGATACTTACGCTTTAACACATGACCTTGCTGTTTAATGCAATTTTTGAAAACTGTAGAAGGTTATTTTCTTATTTCTGTTTGATTTTTGTGTGAAAATTTCCACATTTGGACTATTTTGACTAGTCCACATTAGATTGTTTAAAACAACATCCAGCTATTCATACCGAGGTGCTGATGTTTCCGTGTAAACAATACTAGCTACATTGTATAATGTGTCATAATGTCTTCGCATGCATATTAAACGAAATTAGTCGGAAACATGTTTACGAAAAAATGCATAAACAAATAGGTCAACAATAGTTCAACATCATATTTTCCATTAAAAACTTTGTTTCATTGATTAACAAATGTAGGATTAGATCAAACCGTTTTTTTCTACATTTTTTCTTCACAAAAAGGTGTTTTATTGATATAAAGAGAAAGTAGGACCTACAAGTTGTATAAAAGCAAATGATGAAACAGTCTATTTAAAAACAATTGCAATGAGTGCTGTATTTAGTTTGAGTTATATCTAGTATGCTTTTGCTTGTCTACTATTAATGTTCCTTCCTTTACTTTATTTAATATTTTAATATATATTGTATACTTTTTCAATGTTTATGATATTTTCACTGCAAATATGTGATATGTGCTGTTAAGTAACTTTATGTGATATGGAAGTGTTAAATTCCAGTTAAATACAACTTTTTGCTTTATTTCAATAATACTTTACAATTGTAAATGTATAAAGCAATTAGCTTAATTTTCTTTTAATAAAATTAAAACAAATCCACAAGTACCATTAATGAAGTAACATTCTAAACGTAAGTTCCATTATTATCTAAATTAGCTGATACATTATGATAAGCAAGTCTGTTTCATGGAATTTGTCACGTTATAGCTAGCATTCATAATGACTAAACATACCATTCAAAAGCAGCTTAATACATATGAACAAGAAAAACATAAAGACAATGCTTAAAAGTACCAAATATTATGAAGAACTTTAACAGAAAATGTATGCATTAATTTTAGTACAAAACTGTAAATGTACTCTAATTAGTGCATTATATTATTGGTGCATTATGATTTAGCGCTATAGGTAACTAGCTATATAATGAAAGATTTTTTTACAGTTATCAATATTTAGCGCTTTTAAATAAGCGCGAAAGGAACTAAAATATCACTAACTAATGTACTTTAATGGTATTTGAATTAAAATATTTATTATATTTTTATGAAAAGTTTTAAATGTCATTTCGTTTAGGTAACGACTGGTGACGCTGCAATGTCGTGTATGCATCAATCGTTTTATGTTGTAAATGAAAACTGTATCATTTATCAAATATCTTTATTTTAAAGAAATTATTATTATTGTAAGAAGTATTTTTGATCTTTATATACATGTATTTGTGTTTCCGTTTATATAGGCAGTGTTGTATATAAGAAATTGAAACATTTAGAAATAGACGACGAGGTAAAAGCAATGTTTTGCTATTTTCCAAAATATACAATAACTCAAGACTACATTTGCTTTGAACCAATTAATATTTCCATGTTAAGCTTTTATAAGAGCTAGATTCGTCTATTGTTAACATATTTCCGTTTTTAAGATTAAACTAGCTGATATTGATTTAATTAGACTTTCTGAGATACGGTATTTAACCATTATGTCTCAACGAAGCTGTTGTATCAGAATAATTGCATTTAAAGAGTAAACAAAGAGTAATGTCACACCTGAGCAAAATCTTAATATAAAGCCTTTCGTTTATATAAAGTGAATATGATATAATAACTTTCTTTTTATATAAATTTGATCTCGATATAATGCCAAACGTTTATATTTGTCACTTCGTTGTTTACCACCAAACGATTTTTCTTATTTTGTCAGTATAACGAATACTGTATGCACACTTTGAAATGAAAATTTATATAATTTCACATTTTCTTTAAAATTTGTTTTACTGTTGAATAGTTGAATGCCACTATACATAAGTTATGACACAGTTGTATTACAATTTCCTATAACCTCTTTCCTTATTATCTCTTGCATTGTATACAAGTATGATGTGTGCGCTTTTTTAATTAAACAGCGTTTTGACAGAAAAGAATAGTCGTTGGATTAAGTTTTTTCCCAATATTTCTCAATGGCAGCAGTCATAGTTGTGAAAATAATGTGAACTTTGATGTGGAATAGTTAGTAGAACAACATATTTTTGCCTTGCAAAGCCAATTTGACACAGCTTATAGATATCACCGAATTCAAGTCAGTATCGATTAAAAATACTATTTGTTCAGAGGTCAAACTCAGCTGATTTTGAAAGCAATTTAACAAAAAAAAGAATACCAAAGTTGGAACAAAAACCATCAATCGAACTGAAAATCGATAGAATAGGGCAAACATGAACAAAGGAATATTTTTTTTTGCGGAGATCCTTAAAATTTTTCAAGAATCATAAGAAAGATTTTCCTGAAAGGTAAGCGGCTTTTGTTTCATCGACAACACCAGCAATGTAAATCTAGGTTTAATTCAAGTAGTGCGATTTCCTCAAAGTGATTTGAGATATTGGCAACGGAACAACACGGCACACTCATAAGCATAAGAGTGTATCGACCCTCATCTCACAAGCACATATAATATTTCCAAATGATATCACAACGGTGACCATTAAACATGTCCACAGTATTCAACAACCAAGATCTCTTCAAAGCTTATGCTGTAAGTTTATCAGTCATGGTCGACATGTATCACAGAAAAATACTATTTGTAGCAAATCCTTGAATATTGGGGAGAATGCTACTATCAAGAAAGGGAATGTTCACTATATAAAATTCGAAGTTGTTTAGTTTAAACATATTTTTATTGTCGTAAATAAGGACAATTAGGATTGAGCACAAGTTTTGCCAACTTAGTAACGCCCTCTCCTTAATACATNGTTTTAAGTAAAGCTCGAAGTAAGCATGGCTCTTTCTAGCTTCATAATAAGGAAATATTATCCAATATGTGCGAAAACTCATTATTGAAATAAGCAATCAAATATGTTTGGATGTGTATCATTAATACGAAATGACCAATACGATTGCACACTGTTTAACAAAAATCAGTGTGCAAATATATCGTGTTCTGTATGTATGAATTAAAACAAAATGAAAAAATTGCAATTAATAAATTCAGTTTGCTCACGAAATAAAAATCATTAAAAGAATGTGATAAGTTCCATAAATGTGCAATATTGTTCATGTAATATAACGTGACACACTTTTTGTTTGAATAAATTTTATTCAAATGCTTACCAACATGAAAAATTCAAAATCAGATACAATATAGAAAGAAGAAACATAATGTCGTGAAAGTGTTATCAGTCAATGACTTTTGTCCATAGCTTACTGCAACAATTCAGAAAGTCCATAAAGATGACTACAAAGGTTTACATAGATTAAAGTTCTCATAAATGATTACAACGATTAACATCGATTACTAATACTCTACACATCGTATATTACATATCTAACCTAAACAAAAGTGTAACTTGTTTGTAATCTGTTTGTAATCTGATTTGGTTCCATCCATTTGCCAGATTAATTATCAATAACGGCATTTGAAAAAGATACCGGTCTAAACTAGTGTGGGAAAACAGGTTTCTAGCCTAAGTGTTTGTTTTACTGCTTTCCCTGTTTATTGCCATCCTAGTGTAACTAAAGATTCGGTACGGCTATTCTATCGGCGTATGTAGCGATATCACTGGTGCAGTCTATTTGTTCCGGGAGGGGATGGTTTTCACCGTTATAGAATAGTTACATTTACCTATAGGCCTTATTTTACCACGTGGGGGCTAGTATATATAGGTTCACTACACTTCATGCTTTTCTCTACACTGTAGGTTTTGTTCTGTCTTGTATTATATACTACTGTTATAAATGTACGTATTGTTTGCCATGTTAAACGGCTACCTTAGCCGTGTGATATGTAATAAACGTTAGTTAACTTTGAAACAAAGTGTTGATTGATTTATAACTCGGATACTCCTCCACATCTGACGGACCTGTGTCTGACTGTACAGACGGACGAAGCGGGACATTCTTGGGGATTGCCGCCGGTCAGTTTGTCGGTAGTTTGGGGGAAAACATAAATTACTATACGATCACTTTCATCTACCGACGCTGGACAGGCTCCCCCCACGGACGTCATATTACAGATTGGAGCCGTGACCGTGGATGTGGAAACGTGAGTCACGAGTTATTTTCCGATTTTATCTTTGTAAACAAGTTTAAATACTCTAGTTTTGATTTCATGAAACTATTTTGTATGTGTATTTGAGATCTACCTTTATCGTTAGAAATATCAAGTCCTGTAACGATAGATGTTCTTTTACATGCATTGAAACTGGTAGGATTTGTAGTAAGATCTACAGTAGATATAGGGTTTATATGTTGTACGCTTATGTTTCTGTGTAAACCAATGTGGCGGGACGCCCGGTTTTCGTTTTAACATTTTAGCGGGGAATACGGGAATTGTATAACAGGCCTTATTGAATTATTAGCTCTTCATGTTTGTGATAGACATAAGGAGAATTTATATTGATTGGTGATTGTTTAAAAAGTGTAGTTTGGTATACGACTAAAAAGGGTTTAACAATTGTGGTTTTACAATTAGTCAGGTATATATAGACACTTTTGGTGAACATGGAGACTAATCAATACTCCAGTGATTCGGAGATTACTTAATCTGATTGGGAGGAAAAGTTAGTAGAGACTGTTGTACAGACACCTTCAGATAGATTTACATCAACACCAAAGGGGGCTCCAGAAAATGATTTAAAGCCATTTATCCTCAGTCAATGGTTGTAGTAAGAAGAAGGTTAAGACAGTCTGCTGTACATTTTACCCCTAATACTATGAGAGTTAAGACAGAGGAAAACGGGGAGGATGTTAAACTCACGATTAAACAGAAAGCTTATAGTACTGAGAGGGAAAAGTCAGAACAGTATGAGGGGGATA